ACTTCCTACGTGATGAAAAATGCTTTCGGGCCACTCGTCGTCTAGTTGAAACTCATGACCTTGATACCGGCGTTTCTTTGCTCCCTTTACTGAAGGTGTTGCCCGAACCAACTTGTCAAATACAGTACTGTAAATGTTTTGTATCAGTAATGAAAAGACCTTTAATTTGTTTGGCTGTGCGGCTGTCATCCCTTGTATTGACCTCCTTGCCTTGCATCTCGGCCTACAAGAAACGCAGAAAGGTCAAATCATCTTCAGCATCAAGGCCTGCCATGCATTCAGCACTGGCGGGTGATCGACATACCCTGTCGATTTTTCCGGACAGTGTAGCTTCTTGGCCTTCTAGAAGGTGACGTGTTGTCATGCCCACAAAAATGCCTTCTGTGGAGTCAATGCCATTTGGACGATTGGCATGGGCGGCATTTGTCCAAACTCACGTCAGCTGCATAAACAATTGCTGTTTGCCGCCAACCATGAAAGTGATCCCAAAGCTCCTCGCAACATAGATGTTTCCGAAGTTGTGGGACTCTCTGTCAACCTGCTTCGATCCCTCCTCCAATTCATGGACGAACTTGGACTGCCACATCTCTATGCTGTGTATTTCAATGCCTTGAATTTGCTTTCAATGCCTCCAGCAACTTTTGGTCTTCACATCCGGTTGCTGCAAAAAAGGTCGACAACATGGGCAGCACGGGACATAGCAGTTTGTCGTAGTTTGTCTAACCTCATCAAAGCTCTAGAACTCAGGAGCACATCCCAAGGTGTGAATGCATGCTGACACATCCATGTTTTTCCAGGTGTTTAGGATTCATTCCTTGTGATCCCGCCACATTTGGATCACGAGGGCCCTTGAGTCGGTGTAGCCTACGACATTGAGGAAAAGAACGCGTTAAGCTTTGAGTTCGTGATACTAGACTTCGAGGGCTAGGATTCACAGTTGTTACATTGAGATTGGTAGCGGAGCTCGAGACAGTCCTCCCAAAGTTTGAGTACGTTGCAGCTACGTGTTTGAAGAGCTCAACGAAATTTTGTGAAAGGATTTTGTGGTGCTTGGTGCGACCATCGTGCTTGGCTTTGTTGGCCGATGTCA